CCCACCCCTGTCCTTCCTGGGAACCCCTTATGCAACTCACCTCCCCGCTTGCACTGGAACGGGGCACTTCAAGACCCCTCAGGGACCACCCACCCCACGGTGTGCACTTAGCCCCACAGAGCTCACCAGTTCTCCTGGGAGCTGACCCTCATCCACTCTCTCAATATTTTAAGATAATCCTTGAGACATGAAAATGATGTACTTTGCCGGGGTGGGGCAAATTTAAGAAAGCCATGCCTTGTTCCTGCTCTGGCCCAGGGGGCACAAGGGGAGTGGTCTTCAGCCTTCAGCCTTTGCCCCTACTTGCCACAGAGCTGGTCCTGGCCTGGAGGGGGGAGGCATGGGGGCTGCCGGACCCATCAGGCTGAGGAGGAGCCAGCAAACCAGGAGACCTGGTTCTGGGTCTGACGTTGTGTGACCCTGGGCAAGTCCCTTCCCCTTTCTGGGCCTGATCTCCCCAGCTCTCCAATGGGGCTGTTAATACCTCCTCAGCTCCCACATGGGCTTTTAAGAGGACAAAGTGACTTTAATCTGGAGAATGTACACACAGTGGAGTTATTTGGGAGTTCTTAAAAAGTCCACAAGGGTGCTGGTGATCTCTAACCTTTGTGCCCTTTAGTGCCTCCTTGGGACAAGAGGTGTCTTCCTTGCAGGAGGCTAGGTGTAAAGAATGTAATTCATTGTTTCTCTATTAAATTATTTTCTGAACTCGTGCTTCTCTTCTTGTCCTGGGAAAAATAGGTTCACAGGCTGGGGCTGGAGGGGCCCCAGGAAAAACTAGGAAACCTGAGGGAGAGCGGGATCCCCAGACAGGATCCCCTGGGCTCCCCATGGCCTCTTCCCCTGGACTGGTGAGTGAGCAGAGAGCTGGACCCGGGGAAAGAGTATCCTCTCCCGTGTCAGGTGCTCAAACCCAGCTCCCCAGGACCCCAAACTGAAAGTTCCCAGCAGCCTGCTCTCCCCTTACCAGGTCTTGTTCTGAACGGCATGCCAGAGCATCTTTGGGGACTTAAGGGAGGAGGAGTGCATCCCTCCATTGGCCTCCAGTGGGGCCAGGAAAGGGCTTCCATACTGGGAGGGACCTAATTTCCCCCCAAGCCCTTGGCCTGACCATTGGGGGGCAGTGTCGAGCAGTGGTCCAGAGGGCAGAAGGCATGGCCAAGATCTTGGCTCTGCCCTTTGGCCCTGACGCTTGGGACCCATTGATTAGCCAGTTTCTTGGTAAAATGAGGATGAAGGTAAGTGCCCAGTGGTGGTTTGTAAGGATTAAAGGAGTTACTTTGTAGGAGCCTGGCACAGTACAAGTTCAACACAATGTTACTGTGTTATTTAGGGAAAGGAATGTACTTCAGATTATCTCTGAGAGTGGGCTGCCCAAGAAAGCCTCAATGAGAAAAATGAGGGAAAGGAAGGAGAGTGACTGGACCCCGTGAGCGGGTGGATGGAGAAGACTGGATGGGAGGGAGAGTGGGAATGACGAAGGATGGGGTAGAAAGACCAACTGAACAGAAGGATGATGGGCTCAAGGGTTGGCCCGCAGACCCCACAGTGTGTGTGATCTCTGCATTGGCTGTGCCCGAACAAGGGCCTGAAACTCCTACAGATGGGTGTGGGGAGGAGGGCCCCACTTCAGGGATAGGAAAGGCCCGGCTGGTCCTGTCCAAGCCACCTGCCAAGGAAGGAGACAGCCCAGCCAGAGGAGGTGCGGCTTGCTCTCGAGGCTTCTCTTCGAATGGCAGATACCTATGGGAAATATGCTAATATGCTCTAAAAAAAAATATTTTTCCTCCTAGGAGCGAGAGTTTCCGTCTCTCACATTTAACACTTTGAGAGCGTGCAAAGCGGGGCAGACACGGCCCAGCATCTGCGTGCCTCATCCGCCCTGTCCTCCCCCTTCCACGCAGTCCCCCAAGCGCAGAGCCAGTGCGGGGCCACGCTGGGCGAGCACCTGAGCCTGGGTCCCTCTGATTCCCAAGGGGCCAGCCCCGGGAGCAGCAGATGGGCTGCTGGAGCAGACTGAGGTGTCCCTGTGCCCAGCCTGCCCTTTCTTTCGCTAAGTAGGAAGAAGCGGAAGGGCAGAGAACCTTGGTTCCTGCAGGAGTCATCTAGAAGAGCTCTTGTCCCCAGAAGCTAGCTGCTGTCCCAGCCCCGCTAGGGGAGATGGCCCAACCCTGAGGCTGGGACATGACGGGAAGGGGCACATCGCTTTCTCCAGAGTAACTCATCCCCACACTTGAAATCCCACAGACACAGGCCACGGGCAGCAGACGTACAGAAACACCAAAGCCACGTTCAGGTTCACAGACCCACGCAGACCCCACATGGACTCACACTCATGATCACACACGCACCCACACAGGCATGGTTCCTGCTGAATAAGGCTGAGGCAGCCTCAGCGCCACTGCTCCCCCAGATCAGCCCACCCTGGCTCCCCTGCTCTCCCTGAGCCTTACCCCGCAGGATTCTGGGAACAGTTGTGCTTGGCAGGCACAGGGTTAGAGGCAGGACAGCAGGCTCTGTGGCCCCCTTCCACTCCCCTTGAACAGCTCCCCGCCCCCCCAACCCAGCCTCAGGCGTCACCCGGGTCAATAGGCACCCGCCAGCATCTCAGGCTCAGCAAACAAACATTCCCCCAGATGTCCCCAGGGCCTGCCGGGGCGGGCGGGGTCGGGGGGAGTGTTGGGGCGCTCCATGTCTGAGGAGGTACCATCTGGCCAACGGGGGAAGGGGGGAGGTCCTCTGAACTCCAAACCCCATCCCCCTCCCAACTCCTCCCTGGGGACCAGCTGGCCTCTGGAAAGTCACTGCTTCTCTCTCTGTACCCCTCTCCCTCTGAGAACCAGGCCTGAGCTGTCTGGGTAGGTAGAAGGCACAAGAAGGAAACTAGAGTAGGTCAGGGCTCACCAATCTTCCTGAAATTGCCCATACTACGGGGCTAGAGAACGGGGGTGGGTGAGGGAGCAGGCCGGCCATCTTTGCCATCCGTCTCCTCCTGAAAGGGTGGAGGGGTCCGGGACACAGGGGCTGTCTCGTCCCCTTTCAACATCTCCTGTATCCTCAGACTGCCTGCAAGCATGAGAAAGGGGAAAGGAGGAGGGAAGAAAAACAGGAGAAGGAAAAAGGCCCAGGGAGGTAAATGGCTTACTCTAAACTACCCTGTCCTAATGGCAGGATTTTGATTGCTGTGAAAAGGGAAGTTTGGGGGCAAGTGGCTTTCTCTGCGGCCTTCCCATCATACCAGGGGGGTGACCAGTCACGGACCAAATGACTGTTGAGTAAGTGGAAGCAGAAACCGGCCAGGAAGAGAGTAGTGGTCACGTAGATGGGCCCTGAGGGCTCGGGAGTGGGGGCAGGTACAGAGGCAGCCCCCCACCTGAGGGTGTGAGTATGGGACAGGTAGGAGCCAGGAACGGGGTAGAAGAGGGCGGGAGGCACAAATGGGAAGGACATGGACTGGCAGAGAAGCCCTGAGAGCAGGGAAAGGGGGAGGGGGGCAGGGAGAGGCCGGCAGAGCCTGGAGACCCCTCAGCCTGTCCTCCTTACCCACCTCTGCCTGGGCCCCAGAGCTGACTCCCCTTTTGCGCCAGCGCCTCCTCCCCCCAACCCAGGGCCACGCAGACAGGTCAGGGCTTTTTGGGGTCCCCAGGCATGAGGAGGAAACGAGTGTGGGGGCTCAGCCCCCCCAACTCCCTGACTCCAGGCCCCAACCGGCTCATTTTGTGAGGGTTCAGTGAGTGCTGAACCTCCAGCCTCCCCCACGGCCTGCCTCTCTGCCTCTTTCACTCTGGGTCCTGCAAAGCACCGAGGGAAAAGGGGTCTGTCCAATCCCATTAGGCAGAAGGTCCCTGGAGGGTGGCGTGCTGACGTGGGCCTTGCTGCTGACGCAGCTGAGGAGGCCCACGCGCCTCCCCCGACACACACGCAGCCTGGGGCTTCAGCTTGGGTCTCCTCCAGCTCCTGGGAGGTCCGGAGGGGGTTTTGTCCAGAGACTGCCCAGGGGCAGCCTAGGAGCAGCTCAGAGGCCCAGGCGCCTTCCCAGGAGATGCTCGGGAGAGAAGGCTCCGCGCGACAGCCCAAGCCACCGCGTCCTGGGCCTGTGTCCCTCCCTGTCCTCACCCTCCTCATTCCTCCTTCTTTCTCCTCTCTCTTCCACATGTTTCTCCCCATGTCACCTATGGAAGAGGTTTTACGTTTCTTGTTCTTATTTTACAAGGGAGGCCTAATGGAAACTTTGCCCTTGAAACTAAACCCTCATATGGCTGTACTGTCTGTAAACCTTGGCTGGCTTCCCAAGGCTGGCGCCAGGCAGGGACACCTGGGGTGAGCCTGTTGCACCTTGTCGCTGCTCAGGGCCCTGGGGTGGCCTGCTTGGGGTTGGTTTCCTGGACCCCCCACAGGTAAGTAGGATGAGATTTGGGCTCTTCAGGGTTTGTTTGTTTTTTTAAGGATTCAGTTGTCATTTATTGGTCTACCGGGTGTCAAGGGCTTTACAAACAGTCATCCTTTGAAACATTGTTATTTAGAGAAGGGGTAGTTCATTTCACAGCAGGGAAAACAGGCTCTGAGAGGGAAAGGGACCTGCTCAAAGTCACACAGCAATGCCAGGACTGGAAGGCAGTGGCCCTGCCTTCTCTTTGTTATATACCTGCCATCTCCAAGGTGAGAAGGGGGGCTAGGCGTAGGTGCTGGAGACAGCTGTGATTGAGCCACAGCCCCTCCTGGGGTCCCCAGTAATGGCCCGGAGGTCCGGCCATGTCTATGTGCACCCCCATCCAGCTGGCTGCCACACCCTCCTCAAAGCCCAGACCTGTTTCATCCAGCCCCAGGCTGGACCTGGCGCCCTAGATCAGTGTGGGCACCCTGCCCTTGCCCAGGGCCCCGAGAGGGTAGAGCTTGAACATCTAATAGAGGCTGGCATTGCTATGAAGCTATGGGTGAGGAGGGTTGTGGGGCTGCAAACTCCAGGATTCCTGGAGGTCTATAAGAAGTGGGAGGATAGGTACATCATTTCAAATTTTTATTTTTCACAGAGCTGACAGGAGATCCAGCTATGGAATCCAGAGAGAGTTCTACGGGAACAGAACAGAAATTGCCTGGGCCTGGGTCCAGAGAAGGCCTAGAGCCGCCTGGGCTACCGTTCAGTGCCAGCTTCATCCTTGGCACTCGGCCCCTCACACAGCATCACTCGGCTCCCGAGAGCCAGAGCCCATGGTGCAACGGCAGCCGCTCGAGGCTCTGGCTGCAGCTGTTGTCGGCCCAAGGAGGAGTGCAGGGTGGGCTCCGAGAGCCAGGGAGGCGAAGCCAGAAAGAGTCTTAGAAATTACCCAGTCCACCCCCATTTTAGAGATGATGCAGTGAGGCCCAGAAAGAGCAGTGGCTTTCAAGGAAAATGAACGTGGAGGCTCAAAGTTGGGCTTCTGATCTACTGAGGGTGTCTGCCCAAAGACCCCTCTAAGCATGTCTGAGTGTTGGTGTCTAGAGGGGCTGGCATGTGTGTGTGTGTGTGTGTGTGTGTGTGTTTGCCAGGATGTGTCTGTGGTACATGCTTCCGCACACGCCATGGTTTCCATGTCTCTCTATGTGTCTCTCTGTGGGTGCTCCTGTGTGCAGGAGCTTGGGGCCATGGCCGGAGAGGGATGGGCCTATTCCTACAATCTTAGGAGGCTTCTCCAGGCTGAGCAGAGAGGGTAGGTCCTGAGGGAAAGGGTGAGGAATGGGGACTCTGATCCCAGGGGAGAGGGAGAGACCAGAAGGCAGGTTTGGGCCATGGATGAGAAGGGTCCTGAGCTAACATGGGAGAGGGGGAAACAAAACTAAGATGGGGTGTGGGTCCCTGGACATTGAGACATGCTCTTAGCCCTCATGTGGGCCCAGCCCCCTGGTCACCCCAGTGGGTAACCCCAGGGGAAGTAGTCACATGATGTGGCACTTCTCAGCTGATTGCTTGAGGTCCCCCAATGTGGCCTGGGCCTTGTCCTTGAGTGAGCCGAGGTCCAAGCCAGGGAGACCGGCCAACTGCCCAAGGACGGAGGCCCTCTCCTCCTCCTCTGTGTCCTCCTCAATCATCTTGGCCAGCTCCCGGGGCAGCTCCACGTCTCCACCTGCCATCTGAATCTGGCTCTCATCTGTCTCGTTCTGAAGGGAAGAGGGGAGGAGGTGGAGTGGGGCTGGAGGCCCAGGAAGACCCAGAGTTGAAGGGACAGAGAGGAGGCCTGGACTGGGCTCCCAGCCCTTAGATTCTTGAGCCATATGTTCCAGTAATTCAGCCCCCACCCCCACATCCCAGGATCAAGCTTTTGACACTTGGACATGGAGACCTTGCACTTTTATACCACCTAACTTCACTCTGAGATACTGAAGACGCCAGCATAGTGAATAAAGCAAAATGAAAATGCTTAGGAGTCAAACTGTCGCAGCCAGCTAAGTCATAGGCTGGCTGTCATTACCTATGCTGGAAGGTGTGGGGATCACAGTGACGGATACCATTTATCAAGTGCCTACTCTATGGCTGACATTCAAAATATCCCTGTGAGTTAGGTATTCTTATTTCTATTTTACAAATAAGGAAATTGAGGCTCAGTTTAAGTAAGTAAATTACTCAATTTAAGTAAGTAACTTGTGGAAGTCACACAACTAGGAAGCAGTGGCACTTGTTTTAAACCTACATCATGGGGACACCTGGGTGGCTCAGTTGGTTAAGCGTCTGCCTTTGGCTCAGGTCATGGTCCCGGGGTCCTGGGATCGAGTCCCGTGTCAGGCTCCCTGCTCAGCGGGGAGTCTGCTTCTCTCTCTCCCTCTGCCCCTCCCCCCACTTGTGCGCACTCTCTCTCTCTCAAATAAGTAAATAAAATATTAAAAAAAATAAACCTACATCATGGATTCCAACATCTGTGATCTCTTTGCACAACACCTACTGGTTGTCGTCGCATTTCTCTATCCCTTTGGGGACCCTGGCGCTTCCCACTTTATGTCCTACTCAGTTACAGCCAAGTCTTCCCTTTTTCATTAGACTCAGAGTTCCCTGATGACGGGAGTTGTGCTTAGTGCAAGCATTTGAGCAATGACTCCATTCCTAGCTGGGTTTAACTCAATAGCTTTCCCTGCTTTCTGGGCTGGTTTTCCCGCTGACAGACTGGTGCCCTGTGGAGAGTCAGAGGCAGCCAAGGGATTAGTAAACATTTGTTGAATGAATGAATGTGATGTTCGCATGTCTGATCTTCCGATTCAAGTGGAAGATTCTGGGCACTGGGAGTACCTTGTGCCTCAGTTCCCTCGTTAGGCAACACTTACATGCCCATCTAGTGCTATAGTGCCTATGGGAGACATCCTCCTGGCTGTTGACCAACCAATGGGCATTTTGCTCTCTGCAGATGGATTCCATACCCTGGAAGGCATCCAGGGTCCTACAGCAAGCTGAGGTTCCACATTCACAGGCTTGAGCTCTGACCCCGCTCCAACACTAGCTGGCTGTGTGGCCTTGTCAAGTTCCTTAATCTCTCTGAGTCTTAGTTTCCTTATTTGTAGTGTGGGTGATAGCTACCTGGAAGAATTATTGAGGGGTTACATGAGGGCATGAAGGCCAAGTGCCTGGCACACAGTGGGTGCTGCATTCTCTACCCGACCCTGCCGTCCCTGGGTGTGCAGGAGCTCCGAGTGTAGTCAACCTTGTGGTAAAATCTACTGCCTTCCACTTCTTCACCGGCCTGGGCCTGATTGGGGTTTGGGGGAGGGGGACGTCGGGGGAGAGAAGGGGTCTGAACTGGCTCCAGAAACACAAAGCTATCAGTCTTGGGAAGGCTTCAGCACCAAGACTTGGCCTCCGAGTCAGAGAACGAAGGATCCAACCAAGAACTCCGTGAGTTTTAGGAGCTGAGAGTTGCGGAGCCCGGAGTCCGGTGAAAGAGTGGGGAGCTCCAGGCTCTGGGTCCCGATGTGCCTACCAGCCCACTCCTAAGCTTACCTTGGGCAGCCGATATTTATCTCGGAAGTGGCTCCGCAGCGTGGCCCGCTCCGCCTTCCTCTGCGTGAACTGCGCGTCCCGCTCCATCCTGCGGGAGCACCGGGGCGGAGTCATCTCAAGGGCTGAGAGAATGGGCGGGGTCTGCGAGGAAAGGGGGAGGGGTCTCCGCGTCCCGGGGCGCGAACAGCTTCGCTCCCGCCGGGCTCGCCTGTGTGTCGCGAGGGTGCTCCGACCTGGCGGCCTCGGTTAGTCTGTGCTGCCTCCCCCCCATCATCGCGGCCCTTTGTTGTCCCTGTACCTGCCGCTGGACTATCGGGGCGGGAGCGTCAGCCTGTCTGGCTCGCTCTGCGGACCCTAATATGTGTCCCTCGCGGCCTCTTAACTCCGTCTGTCTTTTCCCTTCCTGACAGATTGTGTCGTGTGGGGACAGACTTGGGTTTGCGTCCTGGCTGCACCGCTACTCTGGGTATGTCAGTTATTTCCCTCTTTTGCAACTCACAAAACTATTATCAGGATTAAGTGAAATAATAGCTAATATTTAATGATACACCGTGTGCCGGGCACTGTGCTATGCAGTTTACATGCGTTTAATAATTTAATCCTTCTAAATATATAAGGCATGTTTTATGGTTAGCATCCCCATTTTACAGAAGAGGAAACTGAGGCACAGACAGGTTTTAAGTAACCAGTTTAAAATTACCCAGCTAAAAAGAAGAAAAACCTGGATCTGAAACCAACTAAGCAGCCTAGCTCTGGAGTCCAGCCCCAGCTGCCTTTCTGTCCCAGCACTGCCTGCACACAAGTAGACATTGAGGCTCAATATCTATGAGTGCCCCATCTCAAGATCTGTCTCTGTGACTCTGAGACCCCTCAGCTGCATCGCTTTTCTCAGAACCTCAGGCTCAAAGGAGCTGCAGTTGGAAGATGCAGACGGCTAGGACCAGATCGGATTAAGGGATTACTTGTTTCGTCAGAAATGCACGTGCCCCCACCCCATCCCAGGTCCCTCCTGTCCCTGCCCCCACTCCCTCTGGGCCCAGAGTGCGAAGCTGGGACGGGGTCCTGGGTTTGAGATGGGGTGGATCAGGGGTCAGCCTAGAAAGCAGATCCCAGCTTCTTACCGCGTCTAAAAAAGTAAGGTAAGGAGACTCGGGGTCTGAAATCGCCCTAGTGGTGGGCCAGGTGGCTGGAGGGGGTGGGGGAAGGTCGTTGGAGGCAGGAAAGGATCCCACTCACTTCTCTTCCACCAGTTGCTTCTGATACTCCTCATACTCTTCTCGGCTCATGCCCTGCGTTTCGGCCGCCGATTTGTCCCCGTTCCCCTTGTCATCGCCGCCCCCCAGGCTCCCGGTGAGGTTCTTCAGCTGGCCGCCCACCATAGTCTTCACCATGAACGCCATGGTCTTCGCTGGCCCTGGCACCGGGCTCCGGGAGCCAGGCACGTCCGCACCTACTTCAGCACTAGGTCTCGCGGACAGCTCCTGCCGCGGGCCAGCGCCCCACGCTCTGAGCCTCCCGCCGCCCGCCCCCGCCCAGGCCCGCCCCCACCTCCCCAAACCCCTCCTCACGGGGGGCGGGGGGCATGCACGGGGCTGAGGAGGCTGGACCACGTGCCCGCTCCGCACTCCCGCCTCCCCCACGTGCCTCCTTCCACGCCAAGCTCCGCCTGGGCATTGCTGACAACGGATTAGGGCCTGCGGGGGTGGGGTCGTTCCCCAGGGAAAGGGGCTGCACTGATGCACCTGGAGCCCTGCTCCCTACTCTTCCTCCACCCCCTCCTCTCCCAGGTCGCTGAGAGCCAGGTTTTCAGGGGGCGGTTTCAAGTGGCAGCAAGGGGCGAAGATTCAGCCCTGGGCCCTACCCCATCCTCCCCATCTGGCTGCCCCAGCAGCTGCTCAAAGATCTGGACGCTGGGAAAGGGAGGGAGACCAGAAAGCAGGAATCCCTATTATGTCTCCATGGGTTGCCTCAGAGTTCTCCCTCACTTGCCAGCCCCGCTGAACCCTAAAGTTGCAAGAAGTGGAGAGGGAGAGGGTTGTTCATGGTGATGCTGGCTGGACTGAGCCAGGAAGGACCCCTGGAGATACCACTCTTTGTTCTGGGTGAATTTGGGGATAGAATTATACACAGTTGGGACTTCCTCTCCCTCCATTGCCTAAGGGCTCAAAGCTGTGGGGTATCTGGTCTTTTGGCAATCAAGCTAGTCCTTGACCTCCTTGCCTGCTTGGAGTCCACTGCCAGCTACCTGTCCAGAAAAGGTGGAAGCCTTCAGAAAGATTAAGGTGAAGTCAGAAGGTAAATGAGCATATCAAAGCGTAGGGCATGGGAAGATGTAAATCACCTTTAATAAGACTGGAGCTCCCCAAAAGTTAAGGTGTGGGCAGGAGCTGGGCACCCAGAAGGAGAAGGTACTGGCCAAGCTCTCTACTCCCTAGACACCACCCACCTCCTTCAGGGTTCTCAGGTGAGTCATGCACGCATGCTGGGGGAGAGAGCTGCCTCCTCAGAACCCCCAGGGCCCCAGGGATGCGTGGTGCAGGACACAGAGGGGGCTGCCTATGGGCAAACAGTCCCAAAGGCTCTTGTCCAGCTCCTGCCTACTGCCAGGGAAAGGAGAAGAAGGTTACTTGGATTTCTGCTTTTGGGGTTCTTGAGACCAGGCTCCCACACTCACCTCTCTAGCATCTCTCCCCCACAGCCTCCCCTGTTCTAGGACCTTTTGTGGCTCCCTGGCCTGCCCCATCAAGACAACATTCTTCCTCTGGCATTCAAGGTCTGTCCAGGTGGCTCCAGCCTTATGGCCACCATTGCAAGCCTACATAATGCATAAGCTTGTCATCATTTCCACTTTGTACCTTTGCTGTTCTCACCTGGAGGCTGTCCCCTCTTCTACTCTGCTGTTAAAGCTCAGCACACTTCACTTCTCCCCGGGGACCACCCCAGACCACACTGATTCTTCTTGTCTTGAAATTCCACCAGTAAGGACTGTCTTCTGAGCACCGTAGCACACTCTCCATCCCTAAATGTTTCCATTCAACAAACACCCACCAAGCAGAATTAGTGACCTCCTACCACCTTTTAAATTCTCTTTGCCCAGTTTCACAAACTGGTCCCACACTTTGCTTTGACAGTACTGAACTTGCCACTTTTTCTCCAGAATATTGTGCTTTCTTCATGTTTCCATGCCTTTTCTTATGCTATTCCTCTGCATTGAGGCCTTTACTTATCTTGACAGGCTGGAAGACTTCTAGTTACCTTGATGACCCCTATCCAATGTCTCTTCCAGGTCAATGCCCTGATCGTCCCAAGCTGGGTCAAGTGCTTTTTTCCTGTACTGTCATAGCCCCTGAGCTTCCTGCCATCATGGCACTGACCACATAACTATCGGTTACTTATCAGTTTCTCACACCAGCAAGTGATTTCTGTGATTGCAGGACTTAGATGGGGCCAGCAATTGAGCCGGTGGTCAGTAGAGCCTATCAGAAAAATGGGTCCTAGCCTGCATGCTGCTCCTTGTCAGCTGGTAGACCAGGCACAGTCCCCCTGGGCTTCAGTGCCCCATCTCTCAAATTGAGTGGCTATGACCCAGAATTAAGAGATGCCAGGTAGGTGTAGGATGTCTTACCCATGGGAAGACCCACCTGAAGTGCACGTAACAGAAGAAGCCTATAGTCTGAATGAGGAGGAAGAACAAGAAGATGCTGGGCCGCAGGCATGAGGAGGGCGCAGGCATGAGGAGGCCCCTGGGGGGTGGCCAGGTGGGCGGGGCTTCTTGGTTGCTGCTTCCTGAAAGGGGACAGTCTAAAGTCCTGGATCAGCTTCTTACCCAAAAGGAAAAAGAGGACCTGGGATCTGGGCCATGTGTGGGCTCTACTTCCTCTCCCTGGGCTTGGGGCACCCTGGCTCTCATCCAGGGAACTTGGATGTGATCCCCCCTCTAGCTTCCATGGCTCCATCTGTGGGAACAGCTGGGAAGGCCTAGGGCCTGGGATCATCAGGGCTCTCTGAAGGCTCTAGAGATGAGAAAGAGAGAAGTAGAGAGTGAAAGACAAGGTGATGGTGAGGGCAAAGGTAAGAGCAAGATGGGGCACGGGGAAGGGAGGGCTTTATCACCGAGCTCTGAGTACTCCCGTTTCCCTTCTGGTCACTGAGGGGGGTTGGACCCCAGGGTCTCCAGGGCCCTGCTGGCATCGAGAGTCTTTGGGAGCCTCCAGAGAGCAGAGAGGGCAGAGAGGGCAGAGAGAAGATCACATATGTGTTACAGACACAGACATGGGTGTGCCTGCCAGCAGTCCCAAGAGGAAGCACGAGGGCAGGAGGGCCTGACAATGTAGAAGTGCTAGAGCAAGGGGGGCGAGCCTGGACCTCAAGGATGGGGTCCTCATGGTACCCCTTCCTTCCCTCTCACCAGTGGGCCCTGAAGGTCCTTCTGCAGAAGGCTCAGGATCTGGGCCAGCTCTAAGAAATGATGCTTGGTGCCCACAGCAGATAGAAGAGCTGGGCTCTTGAGGCCACGTGGGCAGCTGCATCCCTGGTGGGGGGTGGAAACCAAGGGAGATGATTCATTATGCCTTCTGGTTGCACCCAAACCTCCTAACCATTTCTCGCAATCCCTAACAGCAGCACCTGTGGGAAACAGGCACCATCCATAGGGCCCCTTCTTAGGGGCTGGTCTTCTTTCCCTAAACCTTCTTCCTGTATCCTCAGACAGCTTTAGTTCAGAGAAAGTTCTCCTTAAAGTTGTCTGTCTCAACTCTAGGCTCCCTGGGCTCTGCTTTCCATCCCCAGCCCCCAGGGGATTTAGTTCTTCTCCCTCTCCCCATCTCCCCACCCCCAAGCATCTAGATGTGGCTGAGGGACCCAGAATCCAGCATCCAGCCTGGAGCTTTCCTCCTCCGTGGCATCAAGATGACCTCCCTGTCTCCAGAGCTCTACAGGTAGCTCCCGAGGCTTGGTCTAAAGTGGGATGTTGGGGGGCTGGAGGGGGGGCAAAAAGAAGTCAGGTACTGGCCCCCCTTCAGCTGGGCCCAATCTTGGTTATGGTTCCTCCAAGAATGCCATTAAAACATCCCCTCTGTGGGCGCCTGGGTGGCTCAGTTGGTTAAGCGACTGCCTTCAGCTCAGGTCATGATCCTGGAGTCCCGGGATCGCGTCCCACATCGGGCTCCCTGCTCAGCAGGGAGTCTGCTTCTTCCTCTGACCCTCTCTCCTCTCATGCTCTCTCTCACTCTCTCTCTCTCAAATAAATAAATAAAATATTAAAAAAAAATAAAACATCCCCTCTGTGGGGCGCCTGGGTGGCTCAGTCAGTTAAGCATCTGCCTTTGGCTCAGGTCATGATCCCAGGGTCCTGGGATCAAGCCCCGAGTGGGGCTCCCTGCTTAACAGGGGGTCTGCTTCAAGTCCCGAGTGGGGCTCCCTGCTTAACAGGGGGTCTGCCTCTCCTCCTGCCTGGCTCCCCCTGCTTGTGCTTTGTTTCTCTCTAATAAATAAATAAAATCTTAAAAAAAATCCCCTCCTTCCAGGAGCTGTCACTGAAGAAGGGCTCAGATTTATCAACTCTCCCTGGGCAAGTGGGGTGTCTGATAGGGGCTCTCATGAAGGGTCCCTTCCAGGGAGAGTTACTTTTATACTAGGAATTTCAGACTTCAAACTTGATTCAATTAAGTTCGGGTCAACTGGACAAACCTAACTCTGCCCCAGCCCCTCCTTATGTGCCAGACTTCGTGTCAGATGCTCAGGAAGTGAGGAAAGGAATAGGGGGCCAATGGAGGAACTTGAGGCTGAGCAAGTGGGTGGAGCAGAGCTTCTCTGTCCCTCCCCTAGGACCCCTCCTCGCAGGTGCCCTTACCTCATCTCTTGCAGGTCCTAGAGCAGAGTCCTCTGTCCATGGAGCAGGGCGCTGACCTTGGCAGAGTCCTGCAGGAGTGCCGCCCTGTTCTCTAGGGCCCAGGGCACAGCCCCTCTCTTCTCAGAGTCCCTCTTCCCCAAGGATGCTGTAGCCCTCTTCCTTCTGGAAGTCCTTGCCAGCTTGCCTGGCCCCTCGTCAGTTTAGACATTATCTGACACACTAAGATTCTCCCCTGTCCAGCTGGGCTTCTGGATTCCCCCTCCTCTCAAACCCCTCCCCCTAAGGGTCATGGGCTTTCTGCCCTTTGCAGAAGTGTTTCTGCCCCTTGAAGTCCAGTCCTTTCCTACCTACTACCCCCCAGGGCACAGTCCAAGATGGGGCCAGTGCTGAACAACTCTCAATGCTTGGGCCTCTGTCTTGCTGAGTGGCCTGGAGAAGTGACTGCCCCTCTCTGGGGTGGGATAGAATCTGGCAGGAGGAGTTCTGGGCCTGGAAGTAGGATCAGAGAGACCTGGCCTTGGGATGCGGCCCCCTTCCCCCCCCCCCCCCCAGCAACCCAGCCTCAGCTGCTCTGGCCCGAGGACACAAGTTGAAGGGCCTGAGCTACCAGAGCCCAACAAAGCTCCCAGGAGTCACGGGTCTCTTCTGCCCGGCATCTCATATCTTGAGTCCAGCTCTCAGGCCCCAGGCTGGGCATGCCATGGGGCATGGCTCCTTGGAGGGGAAGCCAGAATGGCAGTGGAGATGAAACAAGGATTCTGGTGCATCTGAGCATTAAGCAAGCCGTATGTGAACCAAATCACATGTGGAGCTACATGCAAATTAGCACCCAGTCTATTTCTGGCACTTGTCTACAGCCTGTGTCCAAGTACCTGGCATCTCCTCTCCCCAGCCCCAGCCGCGTGGATCCGTGGGTATGTGCTCGTGCAGGGCTACCCTCCCGCATGCTCCCCTGCCTGGCAGGTCCACCCCATCCTGCCACCTGCAGCACTGCACCCCGGCTCTCCTTTCCCTCCAGACCTTGGGGGAGACAAGTTCCCAAGTATAGTGCTTGCTCCTCTTTCTGGACAGAGGGAGCCCACTGGTGCCAGGGACCCAGTGCCTGAGGGAGCTTGCTTTTCCAGGCCTGCAGGCAGGGTCTTGGGTGCCCCAGGGGCCACTCACCCAGGCTCCCATAGGCCTGGCGTGGCCTGGGGACCCCAGCTGCTTCTTCCATTGCCTCTCAGCCTGGGCCAACTGTTTGGACAGACCCTGGAGAGCTTGCAGGATTTGGCGGTGTCTGCCCAGCATCTCCTCCAGGCCAAAGCTTCTTTCCCCTGGAGATTGGGGCAGAGCTGGGACACGCAGCCAACTGCAGTGAGATAGCAGATCCTATCTTTTGGGGAGAGGGGGAGCAGAAAGGCATGGCTTCTGCCTCCAAGACTCCCCTGGAAAGATATGCCTGGGTGCTGGGGTGGGGATAAGACAGAGTAGCTGGGGCCCAGGGTCTGCTAGATATGGCCTCCTTAGACCTTCATCTCCCCATTAGTTAGAGGACTCCTGGTTTGAAGGGGAGAGGATCCTGTGATACTCAAATGGGCCCCTGCCCCACCTGCCTGCTCCCTGGGTCCTTACCCTCTTCCTGGACTTTGGAGCTCGGCTGTGGAATCGCATCCTTCCTGGGGCCCAGGGCCAGCTTTGCCTGAAGCCCTTCCAGCTGCCTCGCCAGCCGGAGCTCCTCCATCTCCAGAAAGGCTGGGGGCGGGGGGTGGGGTGGGGGGAGGCTGGAAAAAGAAGATAAAACTCAGGCCTGAAACCCATGGGAGATCTGCAGGTGAGGGGAGCTTTCCCACAGGGCCTCCAACCCTCCTCCTGGAGCACCCCAGCTGGGTCTCCCTCAGCTCAGCCCCCAGGCCCTGCGGTTTCAGCCCCGCTGCTGCCAATCCCCACACCCTTCCCTCCTGCTGCTGCCCCAGCCCCCCAGCTCTCTCAGGACTCAGACCTTTGTCCCCGCTGCTCCTCCTCGCAGCTACCTCGCTTGGCCCTTTCAAGCTCGTCTCTTCCAGGTGGCCTTCCCTGCTCCCCCTGGCCAGTCAGGGCCCCTCTTCTGTGCTCCCACAGCCCCCAGTCAGCTGGGGAGATGCTTCGGGACAGGGCCTAGCTCTAGGTCACCTCTGGCCCCCAGCACTGCCCAGAACAAGGCCTGGCCTGAGCAGAGCCCAGAGAGATAGGTAGCTGTAGAGATAAAGGCTGGGACGATAGGACTGACTGCACGTGACGTGAGCAGAAGCATCTGGGGCGGGGAGGGGTCCCTGGGCTGTCTCTCCCCTGAAGGCCGGCCCAGGGCTGGCATCACCTTCAGACCCGGCTCACTCAGACTGAAGGTCAGGAAGGACAGGATGTCATGGTCATCTGGAAAGGGGGGAGAGAAGGGAAGGTAAGACGCCCCCCTCCATCCAGTTGCCCACTTACTCAGCACCCCCCCCCCCGGCTCCATTATATTCCAGGCAGGCAGGACATCTGGGTGACTTTGGGCAGCTCTATCCCTCGTCTTGCTCACTTCATAAGAAACGTGTGAGGGTCAGACAAGCAGATGGGGGGACTGTGAGGGTTGACCCACACACAGAGCCAAAGGTGGGCCACGGTGAGTGCCTAGAGCCAGGGCAACAGACTGGGTGACACCCTCAGGACCCAGAGCATGGCTGCTACTGGTGGAAGCAACCACGCAATGACTGCCTCTCAGCATGGTTCCGATCATGTCACTCTCCTCCTCAGAAACCTCCCACGGCTCCCTAGTGTCTAGAGTCTAAAGACCAAAGTCCTAGCCTTCAGGAGCTCCCACTCCCAGATGGCTTTCCAGCTGTGGGTCCCTCCGTGGACTCTTCATTATGTTATATCCGGTTGTTCCAGTTCCCTAAATGTCCCTCATGGCTGTCCCTCTTCCACTTGCCCCAGAGTTCCCAGCTAGGGGCACCTATGGGGCCATCACTGGATTAAAGACTTCTTGTGCTTTATCCTATTTGAGACTTTCAGCAACTCTGCAAGGCAGACATGAGCTTCCCCGATGGTAACAGAGGCCCCGAGAGGGCTCGTGCTTGACTCCCCAGGCCACGTAGAGGGGAAGTGGCTGGCCCACGCCCAACCCAGAGCTCTTTAGAAGGCGTGCTCAGGGTGGGTCATGGGTCACTAGGTATCACTCCTCTGCTCTTAGAAGGTCCAGAAGGTCCTCACCTGCCAGGGTGCTGGTGGCTGCCGAGACCCCAAAGAAACCTCCAGGAGCCAAAAGCAGGGGCCCCGTGTCAATGCAGACCTCATCTAGGTCGTTGGGAGTGAGGCCGCTGTTCAAAGACACCTGAGGGGCACAGAGGACTGAGCCCCTTGTGCGTGGAACCCCCTCCTCTCCCCTGACCCCAGCATCATCCCCACCTCTGAGTCACTGACTCCCCTGGTTGTAAAGGTGGCCTCAGGGCCCGGTGTCAGAATGGCACGCTTACCTGGTCTCGCGCTAGCCCTCCTAAGTATATTCTCTGGGGGTTAGCAATCTGTGCAGGGAGGAGGGTCGCACGAGAGCGCCGCCCGTATGTGCCAGGGACGCCGTTGGGATCATGGGTGCTCACATAGCAACTCTGTAGCTCTGAGCCCTATGGTCTGCCCCTCCCTGCCCAGAGAAACTGCAAAAGCAGGAGGGGCTACTCACGCGCAGCCTCTGCCCCCAGTAGGTGATCCGTGCTCTGAAGGGGTACGGCAGGTTGCGGGAGTCCCGGTGGCAGGAGCCCAGCACCCCGCTGGCTCTGTCCCTGTGGGCACTAGGAATCCAGCCTGGCCGCACAGGACCCAAGGCCGGGCTGGTGGGGGCGGTCCCAGAGGCCGTTCTGCGTGGGCCTGCGGCACTCCCACCCTCCCCACTGGGTGACCCAGGACGGGACAGGTCCCTGTGGTCTAGTTTGAGTCTCCCTTGCTGTAGTCCGCTTCTTTAGTGGGAGAGAGAGGAGTGGGAAAGCAAGCCTTGCCTAGCAGGGTGCTGGGACTCGGGGGTTTACAGAAGAGGCCAAGGCCTTCCTGTGACTTTTCTCTCGGGGGACAGAGCCTGGACCAACAGTGGAGTTCTGCCCTCAGTCCCCCAGACCCGCCGCATCCTCCCACTGCCCCTCCCTTAACCTCCATGTGCCCCTGCGCCTCTGGAAAGGCTTCTCCAAGCTCGAAGCAGCAGGACAGACTCAGGACGGGCAGCACGAGCCGAGGTCTGTGGGCCGGAGGGGTCACCCGAGTGTCTCCGGGCACACAGGCTCACAGACCAGCGCAGTCGCTGCGGCCTTCAGCCAGGAGGGAGGCGGCACAGAGCAGGGAGAAGCCACAGCTCCGAAGAGCAGCCCGTGGGACCTTGGGCAAATTACCACATCCTTCCAGACCCGAGTTGCCCCATCTTTAAAATGAGGATAATAATTGAAACTACCTCATAACATTGTTATGTTATAACTAAGACAGTGAGTGCAAAGTGCTTGGCGCTGTGCCTGGCATACCGGTAAGGTCGGCTCCATAAACGCTAGCAATTACTCTAATTGTTATGAGCTAAGGGGTGTTTGCTAAGAGACAGTGAGGAGGCAGCTGGGCCCCGGGGTGGGATGGGCAGCCACGTCACCCAGGAGAAAGGGAAGGCACTGGCAGGCAGGCAGCTGACGCACGGGCAGGGCGTGGGCCATCTGGCCTCAAATCTCAGCTCTGCACACAGCTGTGTGACCTCGGGCAAGTCACTCCACCTTTCTGGGCCTCAACGTCCTCCCTGTAATCTGGGACTAATAATCCCCTCCTCCAGAGTGTTGCTGATCAGATGAGATGTTGTGAGTGACAGCGCTCAGCACAGGCTCCGCCCTGTGTCATTTCACACCCCGCCCCCCAAGGGGGCGCTGTTAGGTTGAATGAATTGAGGACTCGGTGGGGCAGTTCCGGGGAAGCGCAAGCAAACTCTGGCCCCCACCCCAGAGGAGGCCCAGCTGGGACCAAGCTGGAGGGAGCCCGGGGCAAGAGGCCCAGGGCGGGGCGGGGGGAGGTGGCTCTCGGAGGGGGGGCCAGGGGCACGAGTCGGCGGTGTGGGTAACTGCTGAGGCCCTCATGGCCCAGGAGAGGGTCCAGACAGGCCCTTACCCAGGCGGCTCGTAGTGAGTGTGCCCATCGCTGGCCAGCACGCTGATGGCAGTGCTGTTCTGCACGGGAGGGGACAAGCAGCCTGAGCCGCGGGCACAGGAAGGATGGGAGGTGTGGATGGGAGGGGGCGCCGATCACGACTTACCTGGGTATCCTGGGCCGAGGAGTCAAAGAGGATCCCGATGCCGTCCCATGAGGCCGGCCCCTCCAGGACAGAGCCTACTTGGCCCCTGCCCCGGGTGTACCACACGGCCTGCAGGTCCCCAGCGGCTCAGCCCAGGGGTCCCTCAGGACACCGGAACCTCAGGCTCCCCACCTGTTTCCCTGCCTCACCCCCTCTGCCCAGCCTTGGTTGGGGCCACTCACCACGCCCTGGGCTCCCCGGCGCCCCGGCCCGGTCACCCTCATCTGCACCTCCACCTCCCAGGCAGAGAGGAGGACGGGGACCCTGCTCCACACGGCGCCGCTGCGGTTCTGCACGGATGGAGCCAGCCGCACCTCTTCCAGGCCCAGTATGGCATCTGTGGACCAAGGCAGCTCAGGCCCGGGGCCCCACCGTCCCCACTTCCCCCATCATTCTCTCTCTGGCCTGGGCTGGGCCTGGGGGAAGAAGGAGGTAACATCAAGGCCTGCCAGGAAATAACAGGCCAGCTGTTGGACATGGGAACCCCAGCACAGCCGGGGTGGGGGGCTTTGCCAGGGGAGGGCAACAGATGCCAGATCCATGGGGGGGGGGAGGTTTACCTGCCTTCTCACACAAGCCTCACCACAAATCTGTGCAGCCTGCTTTTAAAAGACCCCATTTTACACATGTGGAAACTGAGGCTCAGAAAAGTTAAGGAACTAAGTGGTTTGGAACTCAGCTCTGTCTGGTTCCAAAGCACAGCTGACCCTTGAACAACACAGCTTCAAACAGCATGGGTCCATTTATACGCAAATGTTTTCGATAAATGCAGTGTGATACTGTAAACGTATTTTCTCTTATGATTTTTTTTAATTTATTTATTTTAGAAGGAGAGTGTGAGAGGGCACGAGCGTGAGCAGGGGGAGGAGCAGAGGGGGAGGGAGAAGGAGGGGGAAAGAATCTCAAGCAGACTCCGCGCTGAGCGTGGAGCTTGATCCCAGGACCCTGAGATCATGACCTGAGCCAAAACCAAGAGTCAGGTGATTAACGGACTGAGCCAGCCAGGTGCCCCTTGTCCTTATGATTTTCTTGATAACACTCTCTTCTCTCTGGCTTACCTTATTATAAGAATCCAGTATATAATACATGTGTTATGACACATATATAAAATATGTGTTACTTGACTGTGTATCAGTAAGGCTTCTGGTCAAACTAACAGTTAAGTTTTGGGGGCATCACAAGTTGTACCCTAATTTTCTACTGTGTGTGGGCTTGGCTCCCCCAACCCCTGCGTTGTTCAAGCATCAGCTCTTTCCACCACAGGAGAGATTTGTGTCCCCCCGCTTTCCGTGTCTCAGGTAGGAAACGCCCTGTGAAGGAAAATGAGGTGCCCAAGACCACAGGGCACAGCCGAGTGCTCGCTAGGACAGTCACGCTGGGGTTCAGGACTCCAGGCTGTGGAAGCCTGGAGAGACTCCAGGGTGGCCAAATGAGGCTGGGGGCTCTAGGGGACATTCCAAGGTGAGGAAAGCATGAAAGCAAAGGTGGGAACTGGCTGGCAGGACTGTGAGGAAAGGGTGGGGGATGGAGTGTATGTGTGTGAGAATTCTCAGTGGCTGTGGCTAGGGGAAAACCTCTGTGGAAGGAGGAGGGAAAGGGGAGAGAAACTGAGGCAGGCTTGGCAGGAATCAGGGGAAAGATCAGAGGTCTCACCCCAGCTGGCTCCCCATCCCTCTGATCTGCCAGCCTGGAACCTGGCCCGGGACCCAGGCCTTGCCAGGACTTTCCGGAGACTGCTAATCCAGGCTGTTGGCTCAGCAAGACCAGGGCTGGGGGCGGGGAGGCTCAAAGGCTGTAAGGCCAAATGCCCTGGGGGCTCTTAGAGGCCACCACTGCGTCCGAAGTGACCTGTAGGAGGCAAAGATTGTCCACTGTATACGACACTTACGCATTCAGCTTTATGTGGATTGTCCGTGAGACCTCATCCCAAACTGCGGGCTACTTGAGTCTGACAGCCCTGTGTCTCTGGGCTGGGCACAGAGGGGCATGGTGGTGGAAGTCTGATGAAAGGATGAGTGAATGAATGAATGGACAGGACGCGTATCACTGCGTGATCTTGGAGAATGCGCTTCTGCTCCCCTATATGGTCTGGGACACTCCAGACTCGACCGGGCCCAGAACAGGGAGTGTTGTACAGGCCCTGCCATTGTAGGCCTGAGGCAGGGCCTGGCTTGGTGCTGTGAGAATCAGCCCCCTCCTTTGTTTACCTCCCGTGCCTTTGTGAGGGGAGATTGGGCCAAAGACCCTCCTGACAAGGCATGTCATCTTAAAGGGATATTTGTTCTGGTCTCAGTCAGGAATCATGCCCTTTCTCAGAACTTCCCTCTCATAGACACAAATACATAATGGGTCTGCTTTCTCTCTTTGCTTTGCCTCCTAGGTGGCTCTGAACCAGATCCATGGCCCAACTCTGAAGGGCGGGCAGAACGCACAGCTGGTTTTGGTGACAAGCCATGTTCCTGGACTCATCTCCTGCCTCAGCCTTAACTCTTAATCTTGTTCGTTCTTAATTTAAGCTCCTCGGTACTGCCTGGGTCCTTATAAGTCCTCAGAAAGCCTTTTTGAGGGGTGCCTGGGTGGGTTAAGCGTCTGACTCTTGATTTCAGCTCAGGTCATGATCTTGGGGTTGTGAGATTGAGTCCCACGTCGGGGACTTATTGATCTCTTGAACGAGATCAAGTAGAAGACAGACTCTGTAGGCCTGGGCTTGGAAGTTCCTGAAGCTGAGATGCTGTCATGCCTGCTTCCACCCAACACACACACACACTACACACACACACACACACACACACAGGGCAGAGCTGGTGCCCTCTCTGGCAAAACAGCTGGCCATGAGGGTACCTCCTTTCAGGCAGCCCCAGTTCTCAAAGGACACCCACAGGCCTGGCGGCAAGGAGCAGGGAGGAGGGAGGCGGGTGCTGCTCCAAGTTGCCTTGTGTCTGTGTGTCTGAGACTCAGCATGTGAGCAAGCATGTGTGTGCTTATGGTTCCAAGAGGCAGAGGAAGAAGACGGGGTCCAAGGAGAGGCAAAAGGAAAAGAGGGAAGTCTTAGCGCAGAGAAAGAGAGAGGCAGAGAGGAGAGACTGAGTCTGGGGGATGGGGGTGGGGTTGTGGTGGGTGGGGGAGGAGACAAGCCATCTTGGGCAGCGGCTGGTACGGCAGGCCCGCTCCCCACCAAGTCACAGCCGCCTAGAGCTCATCAGCCCCTCCAGCGGGTCCCTACCCCGCCCCTCACCTCCATGATGACTCCAGAAGGGTATTCCAGCCCCAGGCAGCGCCAGTCTTGGTCCTTTGAAGCTGAGCTTATATTCAAACCTTCTCTGAGGAGGCTGGGCCCCCTCAGGGCTGTGGGGGCCCAGGAGCAGGAGGAGGAGAAGGCAGAACAAGGGGCCACCGACCACCAGCATTGTGAAGGGATCTGGTGTCTGGGCCCCTGGGAGGAGCTGTAGCTGGGAGGCCAGGGAGGGGCTCCAGGGGCCGGGGCCAGGGTGGGAGGAGCTGGTTTCTGGCACTGTCCTCTCCCTTCATCCACGACACAGACATCCTGTTCCTTCCAGGCCTGACCTCAGGCCCGGCCTCTCCCTCACCTCCAGCCTGGCCCCTGACCTCTCGCCCACCTGGTTCTGCCCCTGCTCCTGGGCTCAGGCCGTCTTCCCGCCTTCCCGCAGCTCCATCAGCCGTAAGGCCTCAGGGATCACAAGAACAGGCCCCGGCCCCCAGCAGCCCTGGCCTCTCCCCTTGCTCAGGACGGGCCTCCACCTCCTGCCTCCTTCCTGCAGATAGGTGACCCGACTATCTGGACGGTCGGGTCATCCTCAGCTTCCCTGTCCTGCTCGCTCCGCGGGGGTGCTCAGCTCAGTCCCGCATTGCCAACACTCATGCCTCCAAGCGGCCTCGTTTCCTCCACACATAAATTACATGAAGAAAAGAAAGGGAGTCCTAACAGGCAGAGCAAACCAATGCAATGTGTGGACCTTGTTTCGAGTCTAATTTTAACCAACTGTCGGGGGAAAAATGAGACGGTTGGGGGAAATCTGAACAATGAATACTTGATTAAAATAAGGAGGTATTGTTTAAAGACCTTAGGAATAATAATGGTATTGTGGTTACATTTTTTTAAAAAGTGTTTTGTCTTTTAGAGAAACGTAAGGAACCTGTACCGGGCGCCTGGGTGGCTCAGATGGTTAAGCGTCTGCCTTTGGCTCAGGTCATGATCCCAGGGTCCTGGGATCGAGTCCCACATCGGGCTCCCTGCTCAGCGGGGAGCCTGCTTCTCCCTCTCCCACTCCCTCTGCCTCTCTCTCTCTCTCTCTCTCTCTCTGACTCTCATGAATAAATAAATAAAACATTAAAAAAAAAAAAAAGAAACCTGTACCAATGAATTGATATCATGTCTAGGATCTGCTTCCAAGGGTCCCGGAGCTCAGAGCTTGGTTGCGGGGGAAGGGTGCACGGAGGGCACAGGATTGGTCTGGAGGGGCCGTTCAAGTTGGGTGGTGAGGATGTGGGCATTCATTAGAGTCTTCTCTCTACTGCATATGTTTATAGGATTATTTCCATACTAGAAATGTTATAAAAAAGAAGTCCTATATTTCAAGTATTTTCACTCAAATAAATGTTCATTTTCCCAAGTGGCTGGCTCATTTGCCAAGAAATCTGGCTAGCTGAAGTTTCACTGCACTTTGTAAGTTCCCAGTAGGATTAAGTTACTGAAGCTCTACAAATTAATTAAAATCAAGGCGGTAAGTGGAAAATTTTAGGACACACTAAAAGGAAACCTTCATTTCTCAACAGTAAGCCCCGGGCCACCTCCCCCCACTGTCTGCCTCACCTTCATGGCCCCGGCCATGCCGTGAAGGGCAGCACGTGGATAGGTGTGGCCCTGCTCCCCCACCCGCCATGCAGTCCTTCTCGCTCCTGCCCTCACTGCCCCAAGGCAACAGCTCCGGCAAGGCCTGACAACAACCCTGTTCTTTGCTTCTAGTGGACACTTCTCAACCTGTCTCTGCCACATGGAAGGCCGCGGAACATCTCCCCCAGCCCTGGTGGCCTGGGCCTGGCCCCTCAGGGGCCCCTTTGCCACTGCCTGCCGTTCCTCCCCGGCCCCTCACACTGTGGCTCCTTGTGCTTGCGCCTCTCCTCACCTTCCACCTGCTTCCTGGCCAAGTTTGCCCATGCCCGCGGCCTCCAGCACCATTGCTGTGCTCATGATCCCCAAACCTCTGCTGTCGACCAGGCTTCTGGAGCTGTAGGCCTGAATGATGTCTAACTCTGCAGGGGACATCTCTACTTGGATGGCCCAAAGGCCCCCAGACAACACACCCATACTAAACTCCTGATCTCCTTGTCCAGGGCTAGGGTCTCAGGGGTGGCAGCCCCTACCCCTACCTGGTCAAACCAGAGCAAGCTCTTCAATCTGCTCTTGCTACTCTTAGACTGCCTTACCTGATCCTCTAATCTCTGAGGCTGTTTCTTTATCTGTAAAATGGGGGAATAATTGCATGTATCTCCAGGAGTTGTTTGGAGGGGTACATGAGATGACATCTAGTGTGTTGAGAACACGGCCTGGCCGATAGTGAGCACTCGGATCGGTACAATGTTAACTGTATTTACTTTCCTCTCCACCTCCTATGGCTTCACCAGCCCGGGCCGCCACCAGTCACCTCCTGCCTGACCAGCCGCAGCCTCCCCACTGTCTCCCTGTCTCCACTCTGGACACTCCCACCCCCAGGGCCAGACTCTAGCCAGAATTATTTTTCTAAAATGCAGGTCTGACCACATCACTCCTTGGTCCTGAACTCTTCAATTGCTCCTACAGTCATCTTTGTACAAAGGTAAACTCATGGGATCTGCAGAGCTGGGTGGGGTCTGGGCCCTGCTTTCTCTCCAGCCTTGCTTGCTCCTGAAAGCCCCCCATTGGCACCTGAGGCCCAGCCGTACCAGCCTATGGCACCTCAGCACCTTTGCCCAGGCAGTGCCCTCCCGTTGTCAGAAGCACCTCATTCTCTGTCTCTGCCTGAACTCCGGGCGTCTGGGAAGCTACCGAGAGCCTCCTGCTCCCTCTTCCTAGCCAGATTTCTGGGCATCAAGTTGAGCCTGAGTGGGATCCCCATTAGTCATGAGCTCCATGAGGGTAAGGACCCTGTCTTGCTTGTCTATGCCAAGCCAGCGGCCAGCACAGGGCCCAAGGATGAGAAAAGAAAGGAGGGAACGAAAAAGCCATAGGCCGGGCGCTTGGGTGGCTCAGTTGGTTAAGCGACTGCCTTTGGCTCAGGTCATGATCCTGGAGTCCCGGGATCGAGTCCCGCATCGGGCTCCCTGCTCGGCGGGGGGCCTGCTTCTCCCTCTGACCCTCTTCCCTCTCGTGCTCTCTATCTCTCATTCTCTCTCTCTCTCAAATAAATAAAATCTTAAAAAAAAAAAAAAGCCATAGGTCGAGTGAGAGAATGGAAGGAAGGAACGGGGAGGACTCACAGGCCACCAGGTGGAAAGACCTGGCTACCTGGGCCTGCATGCCTGCGGGTCCGTGTCCGCTGGCCCCCACCCCTTCTCTCCCGATCCCACGGCCACGCACCATTGCAGGGTTCTGAAGCCCAGCCAATTGTCAAAATGCCCTGCCAGTGAAGTCAGGCTGGTAGCATGACATTGGCCACAGCGAGAGTACACCATGGATGTCAGCAAACTAAATCAGAGCTCCCTGCCACACACCCCGCGTCTGACTGTGACCGTCACTGAGGTGCAGCCAGTGGCTTCCTCCCTGGGTGCTGGCTCCCACTGCAGGCACACCCCCTGTGCTCCGGCGGGCGTCCAGCCACCCCTCCTGCTCTAAGGAAGGCTCCCCCTGCGATCACTGCCATTCCTGCACCTCTGTCTTTTCTGCCCCCTCAGCACGTGGATCCGGCCTGCAGGTAAACGTCCTTCCCTTTGGCATCAGACTTGCTCATGCCTCTGCCGCCTTCAAATCTCCTAACTCGTCTTCTTTCCACGTCTCACAGCTCTTACAATCTCCCAAGACTGGCAGCCTTCCGGCAGAGCTCACACCCCCTAGCCAGGCCTGGAATCTGCACCCCCCGCAAGCTCAGGTTTTGCTGAAGTCACCAACCCCAGGGGCAGGCTCCGGTCTTCTGGGAAGGAGGGACCGGCTGGCTTGTCTCTCACCTCTGCCGCAGGGCAGTCTGCCACCTCCCTCTCTGTACCTTGCCTGGTCAGCCTGCTCTCCTTGGCCTTTGAACGTGAAGTGCTCTCCCCAGCATGGTCCTGGGCCCTCTTCTCTTCTGCACGTCCTCCCAAAGTGACCGCCTCCTTGGCCATGGCTTCCAATCCGAGCCACACACTGATATCTCAGATTCCCCGCTCCAGCCTCTGGGTTCCAACAACTTACTCATCACCTCTTGGCAGTTCAAAGGCACACCTAAGACTCAGCACGCCCTTAATAGAACTCATGATGTGTGCTGAACAGGAGTCTCCTGGTGCCCACCCCCCCGAGCCATTCTGCTTCTCAGGGGTTGCGCTGCCTCCGTGCCCCCCCCCCACATCATGAAGCCATTGGCAAGTTCACTCAGCTGCTTCTCCCATCCCTCTGGAGGCTGTCCACTCCCACCATCCTCTCTTACACTGATCAGTCCTCCCTGTGCTCCCTGGAACTTCTCCACCAATAGCCTGGGTGATTGATTGTTTCAAAGATACCTTCCTGCTCAGAACCTGTCACCGGCTCCCCATGGCTCTCAGGGTGACAAAAGCCAACCCTTGCTCCAGCCTCCTCTCTCCACATCAAGGCTCCCTGCATAGCTTCACCATCTTTCCAGAGACCCCGGGACAAGCTGCCCTCCCTCCAGTCCAAGCATCTCTTCCTGGAATGCTGCTGCCCACCCCCACCTCCTGTTCACCCTTCTGATCTCAGCTTAACATGCTGCCTCTTACAGGAAGCCCTCCCTGACCTACAGACAAGATCCGATTCCTACGTCATACATGTTTTTTCCATAGCACTTATCAGTTTGTGGTTGTCTGTGTGATTGTCCTCCCACCTGGAAACTCCACAAGGTCTGTCTTGCTCATTGCTGAGCCCCAGTCCTAGCACAAAGCAGCTATTCAATATATCTGCTGTTGAATGAATGGTCTGGTCTTGGAAAAACAAGGCTGGCGACGTACAGAAGGGATGGATCGGGGAGGCCGCTGATCTAGGCTGCAGAGGGGAGGGAGCAGACCCCGGCAGCTGGGCTGCAGTGGGCCAAGGCGTGCACAAGACACATGGCAAAGTTGGAACTCCCTGGATTTCGGGTCCTACTGGCTGGAACCGGGTAAGAGCCGCAACGGGACAAGGGGACCTCCACCCCCAGTGCCTGTCTCAGTGAATGAAATGAGCCTCCCCCAATCTTTGCAGCTTCTGCCCTGACCACTGACCCTGCACAACCTGAGTAAGGGGAGAAAATGCCACGGCTGGCCCTCATTCTCCATCTGTGGCCCCCAAGGTGGTGTGGGGAAGGCCCTCCACCTCTGTGTCCTCAGGCAGGCACGGGGCTGGGCACACATTGGGATGCGGCCGTGCTGTTCCATCTTGGGTGAGCCGTGAGAACCACCAGCAGCTCAGAGCCTCCCCTTCCCTCACCCCCCGGGTCCGCACCTTCTCTGAGCCATGAGCCATTTATCTTGCCTCCAACCAGGGGCCCCTGCTTCCATCTGGTCAGGCCTGGCTTCCTTCCCCATCCTTGGCTCCGGCCCTCCTTGTGCTGTCGACTTGAGCACCAGGGCAGGGCGGGCAGCTGGGGCCCTCCCAAGCTCAGGACGGCCGCCTGGGCCCGGGCCACAGCAGGACAGTGGGGGGAGGGGGAGGGGAGGGCTCCCCCACGGCAGACACAGGACACTCGCTCGTGCAGCGGACACAAAGCGGCGGCTACATCTCCCGGCCGTGCTCCCAGGGCAAGCACAGCCCCACTCACAGAGACAGGGGGATGGACAAGGTGGCACAGGGACAGGGGGCCGGGCGGGACAGGCAGGCTGGGCGGAGGAAGCGCCGAGGCTGGGCAGCGGTGTCCTCATGTGGTTTATTACGATTCCATCTCACAAGGCAGGTGGGCGGGTGGCAGCGGCACACGAATGGACTCCAAGCCCCTGACAGACGTCTGCCTCGGGCGCATGCAATGCAAACAGTGCAACGTGGTCAAGCGCAAACACGGGGCGACCGAGGCGACACGGGACACGGAACACGGGAACAAGGCTGGGGCGATGGGTCCCTAGAGAGGGGCCTGGTCTCCCCAACCCCGGTGGGCAGGACAGGAAAAATAAGATTCGTACTTCTTGTAAAATGCCCATTTGCTGGGTACTTTCTTTCTCCTTATCTTGAAAAATAATAAAAAATAAACACACGGGAAAAAATCTCAAAAAAGGAAAGGAATAAAACTCTAAGAAGGCGAGAGATGGGAGGCCAGGAGAAGCCTGACCACGGTAGGGGGCATCTGCCTCACGCTCCCCAGCCTCCTCCCTTCCTGGCCCTTCGGTGGGGCTCCCGAAGCCCCACAGGTGGGTCCATGAGAAAAGGCGCCAGGCCTAGGGAGGGTCTCTGGGGGGCCAGAGGGGGTGCAGGCTGGGACAGACAAAAGAGGCCCATGGGCCCGCTGGGCTCAGTTCAGGCTTGGGCCCAGCAAGTGGGGGCACCAGGTCCACAATCTCTCCAGGTTCAGTCCCCGCAGGCCCACGACCTGGGTGGGGGGGGGGGGGGCACCGGGGGGGCCCGGCGGTCACAGGTGCAACTCGTGGGTTTTGATGTGCTCGAGCTGCTCCCGGAGCTGCAGGAAGGAGGGCCGCACGGCGGCATCCAGGTGCCAGCAGTTCTTCATGACCTCGTAGACCGCAGGCGGGCAGCCGTCAGGGGCGTCCATCTTGTAGCCCTTCTCCACCCGAGGGACGACGTCCTTCAGGGGCTGCGGGCAGGTGGGTGGGCTCAGTCCGTGCAGGGCCTGGCCCCATCCCCCCCGGGGGCCTCAACTCAGTTTCAGGGATCCCCTTCAGACCCCAGTCTCAGAGACAGGCCCAGGAGGCACCTGGAAAGTCCCGAGGGCGGCTCTGCGGCTCAGAACGGAAGGCAGGGCCCAGAATGGCTCGCTCTCCTGCCTAGCCCTCCCTTGCTCCAAAAGCCTCACCCTCAGCCCCAGCCATGCCCTGGCCCCAGCGCCCGACTCACAATTCTTGGATAAGGCACTCGCCCGAAGGAGTAGATTTCCCAGAGAAGGATTCCGAAACTCCACACGTCAGACTTGGTGGAGAATTTCTGCCATGCGGGTGGGAGAAGCAGTGTCAGGTCCTTGGAGCTGGGGATTTGGCAGGGGTGGGGGGTGGGGAACCCAGAACCCCCATCCCCCACTTCTCAGGCTCTGGGGAGAGGCCCATCCCACCTTCTCTCTCAGGGCCTCCGGGGCTGTCCACTTGACTGGCAGCTTGCCCGTGTCCTGGGTGCTGGAGGCCTCCTTGGTGAGGCCGAAGTCGCTGACCTTGGCCACGTTGTCCTCAGACACCAGCACGTTGCGGGCAGCCAGATCCCGGTGCACGAAGTTGTTGCCCTCCAGGTATTCCATGGCCTCGCAGACATCTCTGGGAGAGAGCCAGCCACACGTCTCCTCAGACGGGGCTCCCGCAGCCGGGCAGGGTCCCCCCCCCGTGGGTGCTGCTTCACTCACAGTGAGAACTTGAGGAGACAGTCTCCGCTCAGCACCGACCGACCCCTCGACCGCAGATAGTCCACCAGGCTCCCCTGGGGCAGGACAGACAGACCAACCAGCCCCACAGGTCAGACTTGCCCTCCAGCCCTCTGGAATCCCGGGCTGGGGCTGGGTGAACACTTGAGGGAGATACGAGGAGAGGGGAGGAGCGGAGGAAGGGCCGGGACATCACTGCTGAATGAGTAGTAGGTTCTACGAGCTGGCCACTGCGCTCAGCAGTTTTCATGCATTCGCCCTTAAATCTCATAAATCTCTAAGGTAAACTCTGATACTATCTCCATTTCACAGATGTGGAAATCGAAGCTTGGCAAGGTACACAACTTGTCACAGGGAATAAATGACGAGTCAGGACAAAAGCTGAGCCCTGCCTGGTGACTTCAGAGTTCAGAGCCAGGGGCCCGAGGGAGCAGTAAGGGGCTTGGGACATCTGGAAAGCCCGAGTGCTCGGCTCTAGGATGGGGGTGGGCCCTCGGGGCAGGTGCACACCTTGGCCATGTACTCAGTGACGATGTAGAGCCCACCTTTCTCTTCCACAATCACGCCCAGAAGCTGTACCAGGTTGCTATGCCGAAGTTGCCTGGGGCAGGAGGGGGGTGGTCAGAGCCTGCCCAAGCCTCCCCATCTCCTCCCTGTCCCGGGGTGACCTCCGCACCCAGCCTCGGCCCCCAACTCACGTCATGACAGAGGCTTCAGCCAGGAAGGCCTGGGCAGTGGCGTCATTTTTAATACACTTGACGGCGACTTTGTTCCCTCGGTAATCACCGAGCATCACGTCTGGGGGAAGAGGGCTGGAGGTTGTTCCCTGGACCCTCCACAGGCCCTTGGCCCTCCCAGGGCTGCCACCCCCTCCCGCTCACCTCCAAACTCCCCCTTCCCAATGGTCTGCAGCAGCTTCAGGTCCTTCATGTTCAGTGCCCAGCCGCCTGGCGGGGGGAGGGGGTGTCAGTGAGGGGTGAAGCCAGAGCAGGGGGCACAGCAGACACAGCCTGGACCACGTGTGTGGCGTTCCCTGGAGGTCCCCAGAGCCTCCGGGATGGGGGCAGTGCCAGGGAGCCTGGGTAGGAGGAGGCGGGTAGGCAAGTGAGGACGGGGAGCAGGGATGGCACTCACTGCGGAAGAACTCATCCTGGGCTGCCACTGTGCCCTCCATGACCTTTGGCTTGATGAGCCGAGTACAGAGCCCGTCTGCGTCTGAGGTGTAGTGCTGCAGAGGGCAGGGCAGGCGCTCAGGGCCGGCCCACCGAGCGCCTCCCGCCGCTCACATGCACTGCCGGCTCTAACCGCCAGAGGGCGGCGGAGGCCGAGCCCACCCAGCCTGGACTTGCTTTGGGTTGGGAGGGCTTCTCATTTCCCACCGGGGAAGGATTAGGGAGGCCCCAGACTCAGATCTGTGACCCACTTCCCAGTCACATCCAAGTGCTGGACAGATACCGGGCTGTTGCTACCACGCAGGGCCACGGGCCTCACCAGCATTCTGAGGCAGAAGGCAAGCTCTGGCCAGATGTGCCCAGGACCCTCCCCAGCCAGAGGAAGCGTCTGGGGGGGGGGGGGGGGGCCGCTGGGACTCCCAGAAGCCAGGTGTGGTCTCAACAGGGCTGGCGGAACTGGCTTCGGGAGTTGCAAGGCCACGTGGGCATATCCATGCAGGTGAGGGTGCGGGAGCCCGGGGGGACCCCAGCCATCAGGGTGCAGCTCATGAAGACGTGCTTATATACACACACGTGGGTGTGAAGTTCTGCGGGCCTGGAAGGAAGCCTAGTTCTGGGGTGAGCCAGACCCAGCTTCTAGTCCCGGCACCTCTAATGTACGGCTGTGTGATCTGAGGCAGGTCCTTTAACCGCTCTGAACCTGTCTCCTGGCCTGTGAGATGGGGATAGTGCCGCTCTCCCTGTGGTGGCACTGTGGGGGTCAGAGGTCAACCCTGACACAGAGCAGGTGTTTCGTCAAGGCAGGGGTGTGGAGCGGGGTGGACACGCAGGCCCCCTGAGGCCAGGAGAGGTGGGACTGCGCTGGAAGGCAAGCCTGGCTCACCTCTACCAGCTGCATAAGGTTCTCGAAGTACACCTCCTCATCGATGCTGAGCTTGCTGGCGTGGTACATGATGCGGTAGTGCTCCACCTTGCCGTCACAGCTCACACACAGCGTATAGTCCCCGGGGTAGTTGGTGCTCTCCCGCACCAGGAACAGGCCTGTCTCCGGTGGGCACAGAAGCCGCTCTGCCTGCTCCCGTGTGATCTTGCCATGGAACCAGCTGGGGGGAGGCCAGGCCAGGGCTCATGGTGGCTGGAGGGTACTGACCCCCACACGTCCGCCAGGCTCCACTTTCTGAGGCCCTCCCTCCAGCTGGCACCTCGCCACGGCCCCCACCGGCTCAGCCAGCCATCGGAGGCCCTCATCTTCTGCTTCCCACCCTTCTTCCTTTGGTCCTCCCAGGCCCACCCTCCACCTTTGAGGTCTAGCACCCATGCCCTTCCCCTCATCTCGAAGAGCCTCACACATTCCAACCCCTACTCTTGCCTCTCTGTTTTCCTGACTCCTCTAAGGGAACCAGGGCTTCCCGTCCTCCTTCCTCCCTGCACTGCAGACCCTGACTGCTCCTCAGCAGTACTCACGGCATGAGGCTGAGCTTGGTGCCGGCCTTCACGCCCTCCCGCTTCTGGACATAGTTGGCTGGGATGATGCCCTCACGGCCCACCTTGTTCTTGGCTTTGTACCAGTTTGGGTCCTGGGGAGAGGGCAGCCCAGACACACCTTCAGGCCCACCGTTGCCTGCAGGGGAGCCCGGACCCAGCAGGAACTCCCAGAGGCGGGAGGGGGTAGGTGTGGCCATGTGAGGTCTCCGATTACCTTGGTGACCGCCACAATGGTGAGCACGTCTCCTTTGCAGAAGGGCAGGTCCTGCTCGGCAGTGCCGTGGAAGTTGTACTTGGCAATGCATTCTGTACCGGATGGCCAGGCGGCCTGCAGGACAGGTGACAGGTGGGCAGGTGGAGGCAGCCCGGGGCCCGTCTCCACTGACCTGCCCACCCACTCTTGAAGTCAAAGCCTCTTGGCTGGCTTTTGTGAGCCAGGGTGAGATGCCCCCCACCCTTGCCCCGAGAACTCTGGGTGCTTTCCAGCCGAGATTCCCCCACTGCCCCCAGATCTGTACTCCCATCTTGAAGGCCCTGGGTCTAACAGTGCACCCTAGAATTTTCCTTTGTTGAAAGTCAGGGTTGGGCCAAGGGGAGCAGATCGATGTGAGCCCTTGTTCTCTCTCTTCCACTCAGCACCCCTCCACAGGTGGGGGGAATACTCAACAGCCCTAGACCCCTGCCCCCAAGGTACCTGGATTGCTGACATCTTCGCAGAAGGTCTGGCGTCCCCGGGTCACAGGAAGGCCGCCGTGTCACCTGGTACCATGAGAGCTGCAGGGAGAAGGGGAAGACCGAGGAGGGGGTGAGGAGCTGGCTCCCCCCCAGTCACTGGGCTCCCATTCCTTCCCCGCAGCAATGCGAACAGGTACCGAAGGCCTCCAGAGCGGGGACTCGGGCCAGGACCATCCACCTTCTCCAATCTCAGCAGCCTGAGATCACTGGACAGTGGGGAGGCAGGAGCATAAAGGCTATGGACCCCCAGGGACAGAGGAGTCCCCAACTCTAGGCCCACAGGGGCCTTCCAGCCCAACTGAATGGCCAACAGAGGCAAAGGAAGCTCTGGGGGTGAGCAGCACCAGGGCCACCTGCCCCCCCAGCCCCAGGCCTGGATGTTAGCTATGTGGTCTGTGGGGGAAGGGAGCCCAGGGCTCGGTGAACCTGGGGAAGGTGCAATGTGACTTGGGAAAGTCACTTTTCTCTGTGGGCCTCTGAGTTCCGCTGCCTATAAAAATGTGCCCGGGCAGTATGTCTACAGTCAAATGTACGGCCCAGCCCTCCCCCTTCCAGGCACACACCCAAGAGAAGACAGCGCAGGTGTCCGCTGACAGGGGCACAAGAGCACTCGCGCAGCACGATCTGTCGCCAACCTCACGCTGGGGACGGCCCAGATGCCCATCAAGAGTAAGCTGGCTAAACCGTGGTGTCTTCACAGAGCTTCACTGCTCAGCAGCGAACGTGAATAAACTGAATAACGAAACCACGGTGATGAATTTCCGAAATGGTATTAACTAAGAAGCCAGACAGAAGAGCACAGGCTGTGTAATCCCATTCATACTGTATGAAGTTCAAAATCTGGCCAAGTCCATGGTGCAGGATGGCAACTGCCCTTGGCAGGGGTCGGTGCCACCGGAAGGGGGCTGAATTCTCTTTGAGGTACTTCACTGAGCTGTACCCTTATGACTGGGGCACTTTTTGGTGTGTAGGTTTACTTCAAGAAAGCTGAGCCCCTCCAAAGAAACCTCCAGCCAACCCACGCTGCAAGAGCAGCAAGCCGCTCCATCCTGCACACCCAGCCTGGCGCCCCCTCGACTGCTGCTGCCTTCCTGAAGCCCAGAGCCCCCGAGCACCGGTCTCGGGAAGTCACGGGGCTGGGGCTCCTGTTCTCTGTTGACACACAGGAGACAGGCAACTGAGGCTCAGACAGGCCGGGGACTTCTCCGTGGCCGCAGGGTGTTAGGAGAAAACCTGCAGGAGTCCTGTTCCCAGGCTCATCTGACAGGACGGACGAGGTCTAGGTCCAGGTAACAATGCCACCTACCCCAGGCCAGGCAGTGGGAGGCGACGCTTGAGTGCGTGTGCCTGGGCGTGTGAGGTGAGCAAGGACTGCAGGGGTTCCGCGGGTCTCCTGGAGGAGGGAGCCCCAGGGCCGAGCCCTGAAGAGTAGGGAGCTTAGGGACAGGAGGCAAGTGGGAGAAGGTGGCCCGGGTTGGGGTGGCAGCCAAGCAAGGGGGTCAGGTAGACAGGGATGGCCGAGAGCAAAGGGCCCGGCCGCAAGCCCACTGGAAGCGGGTGGGAAGCATACCCTGACCATCCGAGCACCCTACCAGTCTGCTGGCGGGGGCTAGTTTGGAGGGGGGTCCGCCTGGCATCGACCCTGCAGGTCATCAGGGGCTTCAAACGCCAAACCGAGGAACCAGGGTCTGCTCCTGGGGACCTCAGCAGGGAAGCGCGTGGCTGAGGAGAGCAGAAGCCAGGGAGAACCAGCGCCCCTTCCAGGCCTCGCTCCTGCTTCTGGTCAGGCAGACCTGGCTCTGTTGAGTTTGCAACTCGGAAGAATGACTCAACCCTTCTGAGCCTCAGATCCCTCACCCTGAAAGCTGGGGACACGCAGGCCCTGCATGCAGGCTGAGACCCCTGGACTAAGAAGATCTGGCACAGGGCTTGGCATAAACCCCGTCTCTCTCTCCTCCAGACAAAAAGGCTTCCCTGCCTCCCAGGATACACAGGTGCTTCCTGTCGCCAGAGGCCAGATCTCTGCTGTCAGCACAGGGAGACTGGGGCCCAACAAGGCTGAGCAGAGATGCTCACCAACCCCCCGCCCCAATCAAACACATTCACACGTCTGAGTTGGGGACAGGAACCACCTGCTGGGTTCTTGTGGTCCACAAACCATGGTGAACTGTGAGCTCTTCTTAGCCCCATTTTATAGAAGCGGAAACTGAGGCTCACGAGGTTGAACAACTTGTGTGAAGTCATACAGCTAGTTAGGGGTGACTGCCCAGAACTCGAATGAGGGTTCCACTGGGCTTGGCTGGGTCCCTGACCTTCAGGCCCTTCTGAACAGGGGCTCTGCTAGCTTTCCACATCCCCATGCCTCCCCCTCCCTCCCCAAACTCACCACCACTGCACCACCAGAGTGGGCGTGGAGGCTGGGGCACCGTTAGTCACCCCACCCGCCTGGCTGTCAGTTTGCAAGCACTCCCTTCCCAGCCTGCAGCTGCTGCTGCCGCCTCACCACTGACTTGATGATAATAATACAAATGATAACAAGCCCTGTTTTCTGAGCACTTATTCTGTGCCAGGCCCTGTCCTTGGCACGCTATGGCTCATCCAATCCTCTAACGATGGAGGCTATTGTTACCCCCATTTTATAGACGAGGACCCTGAGCAAGGTCAAAGAGACAAGGTGGCCTTGCCTGAGGTTTACACCTCAAGTGAGCATCCTGTCCTGCTCAGGTTGTCAGACGCCCGAGCTCCCTGCACCATGTCCCAGGAGCTGCCGTGGGCTGGAGAGAGTGCCGCGGAGGAGAGAAGCAAGCGGGGCCCAGAGGAGGCACAAGCCCGGCTGCAGTGGTCACGGGGAGGGGGGGCTTCCTCAAGGGGCTGCGCTCTGACAACCATAGATTCAGAAAGCAGGGGAAGGAGCTGACCCCTCCCCTTTCTTCTACTGGCTAAAACCTCAGGACCTGGTTTCTCCATCTGTACAATGGGTTGGTGATAGCCCGCAGCAGCCAGGGCTGCTCTGGAGACTGGAGTGGGCACCTCCCACACCAGGAGCAGGACCTGCCTTTGCACAGAAATGCTGAGCGTAAGCCGTGAGCTCTCTGACAGCCCCTCCCTGGTGAAGTCGCGAGCCCTGGGTGGTGGCTCAGCAGTCTCCCTCCTGCAGGCCGGGGGGCCAACCCCCTCCAGGCCAGAGAGGAAGAGCCAGAACAGCTGGGAGGGGCTACTGCGAACCTAGGCCTCTAGTCCCGCCTGGGCCAGGCACATCCGGGTCCTTTTGAGGTTATGGGAGCCTGCTTTCAGGCCACTTTGGGGAGGCAGTGCGGGAACACTGTTCCTGTTCCTGGCTCTGCCACCAATTTGCTGTGTGTGTGACCTTGGGAAAATCCCTTGACTTTTCTGGGACCCTTGCTGGCTCTCCAGCACCTCAGCCAGTCCTGTGTCCCACCTGCTGTTCCCACCTCCCTGCCTGGCGTTCCTTCTCCACTCCCTCCCTCTTCTCTACCCAAGCAACTTCCTTGCTCTCAACCTCCGGCGCACAGCTGAGGAATTGCTTCTGTTTCACGTGTTCCTACAAAATCCCTGTCTGTGGCAGCAAGAGATCGGGAAACGATCTTTATGTCCATTGATGAGGGACCAAGTAAATAAACGGCCAGATATCCCTAAGAGGGAATGACAGTTCCAGCGGTAACGGGGCCTGAACAGACCTTTTGGTGCTGACACAGAGCACCCATATGACACAGTAAGCAGAAATGGCAAAAAGCCAGCTCAAGTCGCTGAAGGAAAAGCTTCTGGGGGGAACGAAACAGTGACACGTCTTCCAGGGACCACCCCACAGGTTAATCAGAAAGAAGAAGCACCTGCACAATAGGTAGATCTGGCAGATATCTTGTTAACCATGCGATCAAATTAAGCATCACCCATAATGAAAGAAATGATGCTGAGTGCCTCCTGCTAGGATGCATGGAGGAGGGCACAGCATCCTCGGGGTGGGATTCCCGCAGAGCCCATCAACCTGACTCAAATCAGGAAGATGCCATCAGGCACAGCCTTGACAACTGGCCCGAAGTTGTCTCGAAGTTAATGTCATAAAAGACAAAACAAATGGGACGCCTGGGTGGCTTAGTTGGTTAAGCGTCTGCCTTCAGCTCAGGTCATGGTCCCAGGGTCCTGGGATCAAGCCCTGCATCGGGCTCCCTACTTGGCGGAGAGCCTGCTTCTCTCTCTGCCTGCCGCTCCCCACCGCTTGTGTGCTCTGACAAACAAGTAAATAAAATCTTAAAAAAAAAAAAGACAGGGGCGCCTGGGTGGCTCAGTTGGTTAAGCGACTGCCTTCGGCTCAGGTCATGATCCTGGAGTCCCGGGATCGAGTCCCACATCGGGCTCCTTGCTCAGCGGGGAGTCTGCTTCTCCCTCTGACCCTCTTCCCTCTCGTGCTCTCTATCTCTCATTCTCTCTCTCTCAAATAAATAAATAAAATCTTTAAAAAAAAAAAAAGACAAAACAAATGAACAGAGGCTGGGGAATATTTTCGATTCAACAGGACACTAGAGACATGGGACACATTAACAAAACAGCATCTACACAAGGTGAGGAGGTGTTAACCAACCTTACTGTGGTAATTGTTTAGCAACACACGTACATGAAGTCACCACACTGCACACCGTAAACTCACACAACGCTGTATGTCAATTACGTCTCCATAAAGCTGGAAAAAAGGGAGAAAGCAACATGACAACAAGATTCAATGAGTGATCCTGAACTGGATTCTGGCTCAGGGGAAAAAAATAGTAGCTATAAAAATCGTTTGATGACAGTTGGGAAAATGGAAATGTTAGGTAATATTAGAGAATTTTAACATCAATTTTCTTAAGTGTGATCATGGTACTGTGATTATGTAAGAGGTGCATGCTAAAGTACTGAGAAATGAAAGATATGATGCCTGTAACCAACACTCAAAAAACCAGCAACAAACCCCACATATACACATCTAGGTATATAAAAGAAGTAAATCAAATGCAGCCAAATGTTAAGACCTGGTGAATCTGGATAAAGGATATATGAGTATTCATTATACTATTATTTCAGCTTTTTATAATTTTTATTATTTTTAAAAATTTATTTATTTCAGAGAAAGTGAGAGCCACACGAGTGGGGGTAGGGAGAGGGACAAGCAGATTCCCCGCTGAGTGCAGAGCCAGAAGCGGGGCTCGCTCTCACAGCCCCGAGATCACAACCTGAGTGGAAATCAAGAGTCCAACGCTCAACCAACTGGGCCACTCAGGCGCCCCTATTATTATTATTTTTTTTTTAAGTAATCTCTACACCCGATGTGGGGCTTCAACTCATGACCCTGAGATCAAGAGTCCCACGCTCCACCCACAGTGCAGGCCAGGCGCCTTATTTAAGCTTTTCAGTAGGTTTGAAAAACTCCAAATAGGAGGCTGTGAAAAAAGATAAGGTGCAGGACCTCATCAATGGCATGTTACAAGTTGTGTTTTTCAGGGGACATACAAGTCATCCCTAAACTCATATATGCAGAGATTATCTTTGAAAGACAGAGGAAACTGGCAACACGAGTCGTCTCTGGGATGGGAAGTGGGGGGAGTCGGGTTTAAGGGAAAATTACTTTTCACTGTATATTTGCTATTTTGTCCTTTTTGATTTTTTTTTTTTGAAAACCGCATGTATCTCTTACTAACTTACCCCTAAAAATAAGATTGAAAATAAATCACTTTTTG